CTCTTTCTCTTTCCAGCCTGCACGAGGGTCTCTGCTTTGCTTATCTCCTGAAGATTTTCATTGTTGTCAGCTTCCTCCAGCCACTTCTGCAGCGGGGGCCAGCTTACACATGTTCTTGAAATAGCTGCGGAGCCTCCAAACGGCAGATGGGTGTTTGGCTAAACACTCTCCCAAAGAGAAGCCCCAGGGTGAACCCCACATCAGCCTGGGTATATCCCAGTGTGATCCTCTTCTGTTTGAGGAGCTTGGCAAATTGCTTGAGTTCTTTCTGCAGAGCTTTGATGTCCTGGAACTCTTCAGGGTTTTTGCTCCAGCTTCTCCTTCTCCAACTACATAGCACTAGGCGGGGGCAGTGCAGGGCTGGGAGGAGGCCCCTCTGAGTTGCTCTCCACTCCAGCTCCTGCCTCACCCTTGGGCTGAGAGGTCTCCAGGCCTCCTGAGGAACACGGCACGACATCCCTCCACAGAACACATACGGTGAGGGGCGCGGAGGAATCCCCCATATCTCAGAGCCTGACCCAACTGCTGGCCTGATTCTTGGCCCTCTGGGAGGGCCTTGGGAGCTTAGCCAGGTCCTAGGATTAACCCAGCCCGGCTCCGGCCCTCCTGGCCCATCACCTGGCAGGAGTGAGAAGGTAAAATCTGAAGCCAGGTGTCCCACCATGGGGTAGAAAGGTGCCCTAAGCCGGCGGCCTGGTGAAATCCATCTGGTTTTTTTTTGATGAGTAGAATTGACTGGAAAAACTAGCTTTGATTTGACTGATCATTACATTGTTTTTATTTTTGATGATTATTTTCTAATTCAAATGCTATTTTTATTTTTATTATTTCCTCTTTCTTTGGTTTTATTATTTCCTTTTTGCTTAGTTTTTTCAGTTGAATAGCTAACTGATTTATTTTCACTCTTTCAATCTAATACATGCATTTAAGGTTATAAATTTACCCCTAAGTACCATTTTCCTTGCATCCCTCAAGTTTTGATACAATTCTTTTGTTGGGATTCACTTCTAATTATTTTATAATTTCTACTTTAATTCTTGAAAATTCTTAATCATTTTTTAATATTGCTTCTCCACCATTCTCTGTATTTATTTTATCTTCTGAAACTCCAATTAGACATATGTTGGAACTTCTCAATCTACCCTCTAAGGCGTCAGCTTTTCTTTCATACTTTTCATCTCTTTATCTCCCTGTGGCGTTATAGCAGAGTTCTCCATTCTATCTTCAAATTAACAGCTTCTCTCTTCAGCTGTGTCTAATCTGCTATTCTGTCCATTTATTGAGTTATTTAATAATTAGTTATGTTTTTCATTTTCAAGATTTCAATTGGAGGCCAGGTACAGTGGCTCATGCTTGGAATCCTAGCACTTTGGAAGGCCAAGGCAGGAGAATCACTTGAGGCCACGAGTTCCAGACCAGTCCAGGCAACATAGTGAGACCCACCCCCAAAATCTCTAAAAAAAAAACAAAAAAAAAATTGTTTTTAATTAGCTGGGTGTGGTAACACAAGCCTGTAGTCTGAGCTACTCATGAGGCTGAGTCAGGAGCATTGCTTGAGCCCAGGAGTTCAAGGCTGCAGTGAGCTATGATTGTGCCATTGTACTCCAGCCTGGGCGACAGAGTGAGACCCTACAACCCCACCAAAAAAAAGATTTCAATTGGTCACTTTACATATCTATATACATATTTATTGTTTCTTAAATCATTGTTCTTGTTAAACTATAATGAAATAGGTTCTTAATTTTAAAAAGGGAACAGATGTCCATTTTAATCTAAAATACTTTTAGGTAAAATGTTCTTTGAAAAGTTCTCCATTATAAAGCTCTTATTTAGGCCCAGGCGCGGTGGCTCACGCCTGTAATCCTAGCACTCTGGGAGGCCGAGGCGGGCGGATTGTTTGAGCTCAAGAGTTCGAAACCAGCCTGAGCAAGACCCCGTCTCTACTAAAAATAGAAAGAAATTAATTGGACAACTAAAAATATATAGAAAAAACTAGCCGGGCATGGTGGCAGCATGCCTGTAGTCCCAGCTACTCGGGAGGCTGAGGCAGGAGGATCGCTTGAGCCCAGGAGTTTGAGGTTGCTGTGAGCTAAGATGACGCCACAGCACTCTAGCCCAGGCAACACAGTAAGACTCTGTCTCAAAAAAAAAAATAATAAATAAAGCTCTTATTTAATAACAAAAAAAATTACTTCTTAAGAGCTCTCTTGGCTGTTATTCTGCCAAATGTTATCCCACTGTGCCTACCTGTATCAAGGCATGGAAAGAACAAGTTCTATTATTTCCATTTTAGAATGATAGAAACTGAAGCACAATGAAGTTCTTTTTAAAATATTTTCTCCTTAACTTCTTTTTTTAATTTCAAAGCCACAGAAAAGTTCAAAGTACAAAGAATACCCACATACCTTTCACCTAGATTCAAAATCATTAACATTTAACATTTTTGTCTTATCTCTCTCTCTTTCTCTCTCTACATATGCATATATACACCACACCCAAATATCCACGTACTTTTTTTCTAAACCATTCCTGAACCTATCATGATACTTAAACATTTTGGCATATTTAAAGCACTGTCAATATAACCATCATATCATTATCACACTGAAGAAAACTATGAGATTGAATAGAATCTTACATAGACATTCAGTAGCAGATTCAAAACTAGTATGTAAGTCATCTAAATGTTCTTTATCTCAGCTTGTCTAATGATAGGATCTAAATTGGTCCTCTGGTAATTACTGAGAAATGATACTCAATTTGTCAAAGGGCATTTCCTTCCTTCAATGACCTTGAAATAAGATTTACTTTACTGCTTATCTGATAGGTATTATTAAAACAAGCATTTCTGAAACCAAGGAATAATCTTCTAAGATATTTAAACCTCAAAATCCAGTATACTGAATTTCCAGTTTGTTTTCTAATACTATATAGCAGTCTTAAAGTCACTCTAATTAACATTTTCAAAACTATACATTCTCTTTACTATGTGCCACAAGAGAAATTAATGTTATACTCAACAATTAGAATTTCACTGTAGTAGTTTTTAAAGGAAAAAATTTGTTGTTTTTAAGGAAAAAAAAAAAGTACAAATAGGATTGATGAGGCAAATGAACCTGTTTTGTACATGAAAAAACTGTTAAGTATATTCATGAATCTGTATAAAAAAATCATTTTTCAGTGAGTACAATTAAATCTTACTCACCGACGTTAGGAACTAGGAAAGAAAAAAAACTATAAAATTTTACCCCTGTTCTCAAAGAACATACAACCCAATTTAAATTTTATATTAAAAACAAAATAGCAATACAACCTGAAGCTAATATTTAAGGGCTAAGTAACTGTGTCATACAGAATAACTATAACCACAGAATGTTTAAGATCAATCTATAGCTAAATACTAGCTAACAAGAGTATTAACTATGTAAGGCACTGTACTAAGTATATTCCACGAATTAATACAATCTTACTATAAAAGGATTGATACAAGGAGTGTGAGACTTACTTCAACTTTCAAGCACAGAAAAGCAAAATGGAGAGAAAGCCATTTGAAGAAAATGGAAAAGCACAAACCAAGCATAAATATGACAACTACCCAGGTTGATACCAGAAGAAATTAAGCCTAGATAAACAGGATGGGATTGGATTATGAGGCCTTAAGCACCCAGCAAATGGATGAAAATTTTATAAAACAGTTGTAACAGGGCACCACCACAGGCTCTATGTGCTACAAATGCCATTTTAGAAATAATAACCAGGTAATAATGCGGAATGAGTAAGAGAGAAAGGAGAAGCAAGAAACGCTAACACTGACATGCCAACTCAATAAATTATCTGGTACCTGAGGAATCAGAGAGCTCAAACTGAACCAGTTCTGCCATACTTCACATCAATAAGCCCTTTATTTAAGAACAAGTGGTAAATATAATTGCAATATACCCTAAATTATTTTTCAAATATACTTTCAATGAAGTTAAAAGGTACATTGAGGCCAGGCGCGGTGGCTCACGTCTGTAATCCTAGCTCTCTGGGAGGCCGAGGCAGGCGGATTGTTTGAGCTCATGAGTTCGAAACCAGCCTGAGCAAGAGCAAGACCCTGTCTCTACTAAAAATACAAAGAAATTAATTGGACAACTAAAAATATATAGAAAAAATTAGCCGGGCATGGTGGCGCATGCCTGTAGTCCCAGCTACTCGGGAGGCTGAGGCAGGAGGATTGCTTGAGCCCAGGAGTTTGAGGTTGCTGTGAGCTAGGCTGACGCCACAGCACTCACTCTAGCCCGTGCAACATAGTGAGACTCTGTCTCAAAAAAAAAAAAAAAAAAAAAAGGTACATTGAAAACTATGTCACTAAAAAGTACTAGTCAATAAATATAAAACTATTCTTGCTGTTCAGCACCAGCGTGCCAAAAGAACTTCAAATTTGGCATGTGCATAAATTTTACAGTACAAGTATTTACTTAACTAAAAGCAACATCGTAAATAAGGAAATTTATAAGAGAATTCAACATAAAGCTTTTCTATATTGCTTTAATAGTATTACACTATTTATCAAAAGCCTGGAAACACATAATATTTTAGAAACAGCTATTATGTAAATAATACTTAACATTAATGTCATACTTTTTATTCATATACCCTTTAACAGCTCTGTATTTACTGTCCACACAATAATTTCCATAATCTGTATCAAACACACAAAGTTGTTCTCCCAAACAACTTCCTTTCTTTGTAATTAAACAAACTCCTTCTAAGGAGAAGAAATTTGAGGAAAAAAATCTCAAGTCTGTGAAAACCAGATTACTTACCAGTAACTTGAGTTATCCTATTGGGTCTTTTCCCTCACAGATCCACCTCTCTTGCCCTTCTGTCCAGCATGAGAATCTTCCTGACGGGCATCCACTGGAACTGAGGGGGCATGCAGTACACATGTTTATGTAAGAAAGTTGGGGGAGAGGATTTGAGAGATGCTAGAGACATGCTTCAGTGCACTTGCTTACCTTCCTGAAATTGGAAATTTCAACGGTTCCTTGGTCCTCGAGGCATTCACAATAACTTCAAAGAATGTGGATCTGTGGAGATTACCCAATAGGAGAACTCCAGTTACTGGTAAGTGATCCAGCTTTTTCTTCTCTATCAGAATAAGAAGATTATTTAATTTTATTTGAGATTATTATTACACATAGAACTACAGGCGAAAAGGTTGTAAATTCACCAAATAACTACATATGAATACATCAAAGTAAATAAGAAAACAATTTGCTAACCGTATGTTAACAGAAACTTCTGACTTTATCAGAAACACAAAGAAAATGATTTGTATAGTTTCATTTTAAATGTCTACTCTAATGGCAGCTATATTTTAATATATAAAAATATCAGCTATCAGACTGTTCTATTTCAATGAAACACTACTGTTACTTTTTAATATTAGTACAAAAATAATTAGTTGATCAAAATCTGCTATATTTTCTTTTTCTTTCTTTCTTTTTTTTTGTTTTTAAGGAAGGGGTCTCTCTGTTGCCTAGGCTGGACTCAAACTCCTAAAAGCAAGCAATCCTCCACCCTCAGCCTCCTGAGTAGCTGGGACTACAGACGCACACCATGGGCACTTGGCTCGTGCCACTTCTTAACTAGCCATTGCTTTTAACAGTCACTTAATTTTAGTATAGAAGCCACCACTGTAGATTAACAATCTACTGGAATTTAGATAAACAGCATCAATACAATTCCTATTTATCACTCAATAAGTCTTTAAAAAAACCATTTGTCACCTATTAACAAACCACACAAAATAAGCCAGCTGCTAATAAATAATAATGCTGATTTTAATTTAAATACTTGTATAAAAGAAAGCAGTATAGTAAATTTTTGATAAACTTTTAAAATAGTTGGCTAATAATGGACCTATCGTTTAAAAAAGATACTATTTCTAATCAAAAGAAAGCCCTTAACAGAATTTTATCCTCAAGCTCACATAAAGATATTTTATTACCTTTAACTCAATACTTATTAATCATGCTCATTTTGAAGACAGCAGTGATGTCTTTGAACCCTAGCACCTACAATAGTAGGTACTAGATACAGGTAAGTTTCAATACCCCTTTTACCATTATGCTGTTAATTAATCACCCTCTCTACCTTCAAGAAATTTATGGTTTCATCATACTTCATTCTATGGAAACAAAGAAAGTGTATGGCTTTTCCCTTGTTTTAAGAGTCAATAGGATAAAATGGTCTATAGAATCATTATTCTACAAAAACAAATTCAAAATGTAATTCTAATGAAAATCTCACACTTCAATCTTCTTATACGATATTTGTATTCAGTAAAGGCTAACAAAACATCTGTCAAGATTTTTGCTAGATTCCTACTTAATTTTAAGATACAAATTGCGTTGGGTAAATTATATCCATTTCTCTGTAAGTCTGAGTTTTAAAATATAATAGTAATAAATATGTTAGGTCTTACATGTTTATAGTGATAAAATCAATACAGGAGCAGTAATCCAAATATTCTACCCTAATAGTATAAGCAAGTATGAAAGATGACATTAAGAATTAAATTATTGTTCCAATTTTATTTACAGCAAATGTAGTCTCAATTTAGTCTTGATTTTATAAAGTTAAAATAGAATCAATTCAAATATCTTGAAAATATTTTAAGATAACCTAGAGGCTGGCACTGAAAGCTACATTTTGTTGTTATCATTCCATAAACTCAACTAAGATGGATTTTATCAGAATAGCTTAGAAAAGAAATTCCAGAGATTAGGATGTTCTATTCAAAAGTATTTAATGTGAGCTCTAATAATTATAATGCTCATCCACAAAAAGCCACTCCTTAGTAATCAAGAACTGCATCAAACATTTCACTAATGAAAAAGCTACTCCATAAAATCAATCTGAACTTACGAGAAAACTGCTTAGAATAAAAGGTGGTAGCTAATTTTCACTTCCATTACCAATCCCTGGTTTGGACATTATATTTTGGCTAGAAACAAGTTAAATTCAAACTGGTTTTGATGATTCCAGATACGTTATTTTCTATTTTTTAATTAAGATTTAAAATTCTAGGGGCTGGGCGCGGTGGCTCACGCCTGTAATCCTAGCTCTCTGGGAGGCTGAGGCAGGCGGATTGTTTGAGCTCAGGAGTTCGAAACCAGCCTGAGCAAGAGCGAGACCCCGTCTCTACTAAAAATAGAAAGAAATTAATCGGACAACTCAAAATATATAGAAAAAATTAGCTGGGCATGGTGGCGCATGCCTGTAGTCCCAGCTACTTGGGAGACTGAGGCAGAAGGATCGCTTGAGCCCAGGAGTCTGAGGTTGCTGTGAGCTAGGCTGACACCACGGCACTCACTCTAGCCCGGGCAACAGAGTGAGACTCTTTCAAAAAAAAAAAAAAAAAAAAAAAGGATTTAAAAGTCTAACGTCATAGAAATTTGTTCTTCATGGTAAATTCTGGATTTGAAATCCTGTGATAGTATAACAAATTTTAACATTATACACATATTCGCATATATTTAAGTGACATTATTAATGGTTCATATGTAAAATATTATGTATGTATTAAACACATATAATACATACATCAGTATGTATTTACAGAGATATATAAAATTGAGTTGAACCTCAATTTTAACCAAACTAAGGTCAAAAATGAATTATCAACTTACCTATTAAGTAATGTTATTTACAGAAACTGTCTTCTTTTTTCTTCCTTAAACAGCTCATCATATAGTCTAGGTAAAGTATAGAATCTTCAATTATCTGGATTTTCCTGGCTAGACCCTCCCTGTCACTATCTTCCAAAGTGGAAAAGCTTTATAGGGCACAGTAGGTATAAACAGAAACTGCTATTTCATCTTTCTTTCTTTTTTTTTTTTTTAACAAATTTGACAAAAATTTATTGAATTTACTGTGCCTTATTAACCTCTTTTTCAGTCCCATGGTACAATTATACTTCCTTCAGGGTCCCCAAATTATAAATACCATATCATTTCCTAATCAAAATTTTCTTTTGCTCAGTTTTATCCACAATTTGCTCCTACAACAACCCACAGAGAAACAAACAAAAATAGTTCTGTTTTCTGTTAAGCCAAATTAGTCTAAAATCAACATGGCAAAAACTACGTTCACTTGTAAAATCAGGTAATAACAGAACATACTTTACAAGGTAGTTGTAATAAGAATTAAATTAATTAAGGTAAAGCACTTGGAAACAAAGCCCAGAATCTAGCCATTTATCAAACTATTTAATATTAACATAACCACCCAGAAAGGGATTATTTTCAAACGACTTTCAAACGACTTTGTACATCTTTAGTGGAATTTAATCTAAGGACTAAAAGAACGATTAAAAAATTCTAAACTTTACTCAGGTTTATTGTTTATAGTAATATTTGTAATATTATTTTGAAACTATATTCTTCATATTAAAGATAAAGAAAATAAGTAACATATGTTAATGACATTAGGAATCATGGTTTGCAGCAAAAAAGAGCTACAAGAACACATTAATGTTAGAATTGAATTGCAATACCACTATACACTCATGATATTTTAAAAATACATATGGTTTGGAAATAGTTAATGAAATATTCTATACAGTAGTTATAAAGTAAACCACCACCATTATCATACCAATATATAAATTAAATCTGTTAATATCATAATAAGCCATTATAACTAGATTTACTTTAATAAAGGAAGCTACTTAGACTTTGAAAGTTGTCAGAAACATTACACAAGTCGTTTGCCATGTTCCAATGCCTGACTTTGATAGCTAGAATCTTAGAATCTAACTGCTGACAAACGCTAAAATGAAAATATGAGAAAAACAGTATACATTCATGTTCTTGAATGACATTTCATGGTCAACAAACTTATATTCAAATGGTTGTGAAAGCTGAAGGTGAAGGATGCTAAGCAGGTAAGCTCTAGTTCCCTAGAAACCCTGCTCTAGTCAGAACAGCTTCCCTTTTATCTATTTTACATTTTGGGTTTCCCCCATAAGCTTCCCTTTCTGCAACAACAAAAAAAGAGTTTTAAACTTTAAAGGATAGTGTGGTGGACAAACTCTGAAATGGTCCATGATGATCCCACCTCCTGGTATTCAGGCACTTGTATAATCTCCTCCCCCTGAGTACAGGCTGGATTTAGTGACTCAGTTCCAAGGCAGAAGTAATGGGATATCACTTCCAAAAGTAGGTTATAAAAAGACTGTGGCTTCTATTTTAGGGGCTTTCTCTCATTGTCTTTCAGATATCTTGCTTTGGAGCGAGCAAACTGCCATGTTCTGAGTGGCCTTATAGAAAAGGCCCAGGGGACAAACAACTGCTATCACTAAACAACCAGAGGCCTGAGGCCTGAGGCCTGACAACAGCTACATGAATAACTTGGAACCAGGTGTTCTAAGGCCTGCTGACAACCATAGGAGTGAGCTTCCAAGGGGCTCCTTCCTCAGTTGAGTCCTAAAATGACTGCAGCTCTGGCTGATACTTTGCAGCCTTGTGAGCAAAAAGATGAGAAAAAGAGCAATAATTATAATATTAAAATTAATCTGACCAGATTCTGAAGCTCTGCATTAGTTTTCAAATCAATTCTTAATAACCGTCTCTAAAGTACAAGTATATATTTTCTGTGTATAACTGATTTTGTAAAACAATAGCGAACTTTTTCAACATAATAAATTTCAATATAGTCTCAAATCAATAGTTATAGTTACAAAACAACTGAAGAGTGGCTACGAATGTCTCATTTTCCTTCCTTTGAAGGGAAAGTTACTCCTTTTTTATTTCCAACGAATAAATAGCAATTCTTGTTACATTTCACCATGCTCACGCAAATCATCCTACTTTAAAATATTAATTTCATTATCACCTTAAAAGTGCATATAAAACCATAAGTACTGAAATGCCACACTTTTAAATGTCTTCATTGCATGTATATTAATGACCTTTTTCCTGGAAAAGGTCATTAATAATTTCATGGAAAAATATATCAAGGTATCAATAACAGTACAATACAAACTCATTGAGTTAATCTCAAAATATTAATGTCCCATTAT